TAGGGTCTGATTTCAACCTTGGTTCACATCAAATCTTATTTGAGTATCAATTCTTGGTACTTTGAGGCAAGTTTTGCTAAAAATATATTCTTAGTTGCTTCTTAAAGATGTCTATATGATTCATTTTCTTAATCTATTTTTTTCATTTTTATTTTATTTGTGGCCTTACAAAGTAAGTAGAAGTAGTTTTATTTTTATAAAAATGCAACATTAACACTAAATTTTTTTATTACATTCCTATCACTTCTCCATGTTTTGCTACTATATCTTTCTACTAGGCTCTTAAATAATAAAACCCATATTTTTATCTTCCACCATATAATTGTGTTACTACACAGCAATATAGTTGAGTGTTGAATTTCGAAAATATTTTTGAAAAATGAGCTCCAAGAATGCTACTTAATCTTGTTGATATGTGACCAAGTGCCATTGCAAAGTATATAGGTTTTAGTACATTACAATTGCATGTGGTATGTTCTTTCTCCAAACAAAAATGGTTGATGATTTTGCTCATAGTAAAGGGTGTGCAAAGTGAATAGCCTTAATATCCATTTAAGTTGTTGTAACTTTTTCTTGTAAATCTACTTCTTCCTTGGTTGTTTTTTAAGATATTCTAAAGTATACCACACATGCTTCTTTGTCATTTTTTTTTTAATCAACTATTTCTTTTAGAGTCATTCTTTCTACAAGTAATAGACCATTGAGTTCATCTAGTTACAAAACATGTCTTTTATTTTGAACAATTGTCCCAAACATATTAAATTTTTTAGGCAAGTTAATAAGAATATTTTATTTATTGAGCCTTCTTAATAATTTAATCTATGAGAATAGGATTTGTTGATTCTACTACATCAAAAATGTCGTCTTCAAGCAAGACATTTGTCATGACATCTAGCCAATTTGTTTAGTTTGAAACACCACTTACAAGTCTTAATGCAAAAATTACTCTATCAATTTCTTCCATTTATAACAATATAATAGTTGTTGTTGTAATCATATGTATTTTTATACACTCTTGCAATGCTCTTCTAACTTCAACACAAGCACACTTTTGACCTATATACTTTGTTATAACTCTAACCATAGCTTATAATCCTAACACATAAAGCCACTCTTTTAACAATACAATTTTAGAACTAAGCTCAACAATAAAAATAAAAATGAAACTTGTCCTTGGATTAGAAGTGATGTCATACCATGTTAACTTGATAAAAAAAAAAAAAGATATATTTATGAAGCAAACCCACAAAAATATGTACAAAACAATGACAATACTTAGCAACCACAATAATTATACTAACCCTTATTAGGTGAGTATACATTTGGTTTGTATACAAATACTAAAGCAACATTTTATACTAATAGCCTGTTGTAATTCAATTTTGGTATATAGATTGCAATTTTAATAAAAATCCAGGTTCTTAAAGTTAATTTATGTATCATGCCCATTACTTTTATTACTTTAGTTCTTGCAAAGTAATTTTCTTACAAAATGATGAGTAAATGAACTTAATGCTTCTATTCAAGCTTCAAATACATATTTTTGTTTTTTTTGTTATCTTTAAATTTGGTGTACCAACCCACAATCAAATATACACTAGAGGACATTTTTAATGCACCTTAGAGTCAATTTCAATACCTCTATTATCATTTCTAGAATATTTGTCATCAAACATCAACCTTTATAAGATTGGCAAAGACACCAACACACAATTAACTCATCCAAACTTCAACATGATACAAAAATCAACAAAGAATTTCTTCACCAACACACTTATTCATGACATCACATTCATTACAACTCAAGAATTAGGATGTGTTGAAACCAACATCCAACACCAAAGACTAGAAAATCTCTCTTTTCCAAACATTCGTTGGGATGTTACAATAATGAATATGCACAAAGTTTCATCATTGGACTACTAAACACACCATGCCAAACATGTATTAAGTAATCTTCATCAACTCCCTCAAATACAATCCAATAAAGTGCAATCCATTCCATTACACCCCAACTTACAAATCTCCCTGAATGCACCTCAAAAACCACATTGTGACACATGAATATCCCAAAACTTGTAATCATTCAAAAATGAAATTCCCCGTTGACATCTCCCACAACAAGTCTACGTTGTTGCATGAGATCGCATCACCCTCATCCATCCAATTACCAATCACAATCTTCACATGCACTAAGCACAGGTATTGATGCCGAGAACTCCACCTTCACTTTCACCAACCTAAACAAAACAAAAAACAAAGGCCACAAAGGCTGCGAGATCTGGGAATCAAATTCGGTGCACATCCGAGAAGCGAAGTGTATTCATCTCGGCCTCGCACAACATCTCAAGGCACTGGCGTCGTTATTATCAAGGCAGTCAGGTGCGGAGATACAGGCACCACTCCCTGATGTCAATCAAGCAATCAATCAATCAACGAATCGTGAATTCTATATACACTCGATATCTGTACACTACCTACACGCTCTCACGCACCGAATTCTATGGCCGCTGGGTGCGTGCGCGTGGCTTTGACGACAACGAAACTCGCTGGTCCATGGACTCCACCAGGCTCACTACTTCCTCATCAACCGCATCACGCCTGAGATGGTCTGGAAAGGTTTAACGGTTGCAGATGGGGCAGGCCCATTCCTTGCACCCACACCTTGGCTCCCGATCCGAGTTGCATGTGACGTTCGGAGCATCGAAACCTCGTGGAAACCTCGGCGGACCCCTGGTCGCTCCAGAATGTGTTGTGAGGCAATCGAGGATGTGGGTGTCCATGCTGCAGCTGCTGTTCATCGGTGTAGTGGCGGAGGATGTAGCCGGGGCCCTGCACCTGGCGTTCAGCATGGTGTACTGAAGGTGGTGGTCCATGAGAAGATCACACCGCTAGTCACAGAAATGCGACGATGAGATTGGAGATGGTGCGGGGGTTCAGCTGTCCGATCTCCCGAATGCAAGACGTAGAACCGGAAACCTGAGAGGAGCTGAACGTGCAATCACGCTGCCTTGGTTGTGTTGGTTGTGAACTAACGATCTGGGGCTGTCCCACTTTGTACTCCACTTTCAATTGCAAACCGGGGTCCCGGTTGTCCAATCGCGGCAATTTCAAAATCCGTGAATCATGTTCTCCAGCTTCTTCTTCTTCTTGGATTTCCTTCTCGTCTGCAAGTCACACACGAAACTGGCGGCTCGCTCGAGGCCGAGCTTTGCGCTTGCGTAGCCTTCAGCTTGCAGACTCCCCCAAGCGCACACGCTCATTTCGAATCCTTTTTACATGTGCGTTTGAACGTATCTTTGCGAGTCGCTGGGTCATTCGTCACAACTGTGTGGTTCAGACTTTTGTTTGTGTTTTGTCACGACGGGTAGCTGCTGCTGCTTGCAGCATTGTCGGCAACTGTCTGTCACTGGGACGGACCAGATTCACATCCTCGGAGCGTTTCTACCTTGTCCGACACGATTGGATGACAATTCCACTGCTCGACAAGTTTTTACACGAGAACACCGTCTTATGGATTTTGACACGGACGCTTCGGGCACCACGCACAACTCTAGAGGCGCACTGGATGCGGAGACACGAGCGAGAAACCGTCAACTCCTCCATATCCTGCCCCCGCCCCACTTCGCAAACCCACGCCCAACTGCTGCCTCCGTGCAATTTCACACGACAAGAACTATGTAGGGGACTCGGGACACTTCAACTAACTTTTCCCCCGCTGACCCGGAACCCGCGCCGACACTCGGGAATTGCCACGCAACAATCCGCCTCCAGTTATCAGTGCTTATCAGCCGTTGACATGTGGAGCAGTCAAATGCACACATCACACATCGTACCGACAAATGCACCAAGCCATGCCCTCAATCCTCTCTCGTCGCGTCCGCAGGTGTTGTTCCTGGCAAGTGATACGTCTTCGCCTCCCACCACTGAGCAGTAGCCACGGACCGCAAAACCAACGCGTGATGGGCATTGCATCTCGGAACATGGCGGCCATCGTGGCCTTGGACGCCGAAAACGAGGATGGCGTCGTCGGCCGGAATGAGAGGAAGCAGAAAACCATGTTCCAGTTCACCATCACCACTTTGTGAGAAGTGTTTTGCGGTAGATGACCTTGCTTGGATATCTTTCCATCGTGTTGAATGTGTTTGATGAACTGCTTGTAAGAGAGCTTGTTTTTTCGTGGGGGTGTTGTCTTTCTAGGTTCTGTTTGTCTTGCTAGTTTAGGGTTTTCTGTTGTAGGAGGTAGAAGACGTTTACTTTTGTTTGTTGCCCATTAGTTTATTGCTTTGGTAGTTTTTTTACGGATGGTAGTTATCTTTTGGTTGTAGAAACCCTCCTTTTTCGTTTTTTATATTGATGACGTTTTTTGAAATTTACGAAAGTCATGGAGCTGGTTTTTTGGAGTTATTTTTTTTTTGTTGTTGTTCTGAATTCTGTTTTGGAATGCAGTGAAAGATTCATATTGATTAACTAGGTATTGTTATTTTGTACAGTTATGATTTATGTGATTCTAAGACGAGCATTACTGAATCAACCTTATAAACTTTGGTCTGCTTGTTTATGAAATAGGTACAAATATAAGTTGAAAATTATGCTTCACGTGCATGTGGTCTCTGTTGTTGAGCTCCCAATCATGTTGTGGAAATTTATGTGCTTGTTGAAGTACAGGAGAGGGTCAATATTGTCCATATTTTAACTATGTATTAGTGTGGCATGCTTTTCAATAGAGATCATCTGTTCATCACTTTTCTTAGGTATAGACAACTTTGCAAAAATATGTTCATTTCGTTGTCGTAAGGTTTTGTTTTTCGGAACTCTGCAATTTTGTAATGTTCTTTGTGTGGTCCACTGCATAGTTTTCTGCTCGTATGTATATTAAAATGGATATATACATTTATAATTTATATTTAAACATATGTTTTTATCACTCTAAACTAAACGCTTAATGAAGCATCCTGATCAAGGGCATTGATGAAGTAAAAAATTATACTGCATGTAGAAAATTGAACTAAACCGAATACTATAATTTGGTCTTGTTTAGTTTGTTCTTGCATACAAAGAAGCTTCAAATACACATCAAGTCGTGCTGATTTTCGTGCAAGTAGTTTCTTCTTCCATAAATTCACAGCATGCAGGTGTGGCTTACAAGCTAATTCAAATATGTCTGCAACAAAATGCCGCATATCTGCGATGAGCCACAAAGCTCTACTGCAAGGATGGAGGGTTTAGAGGAGGATGAAGATCACATTATGGCACCTTCACTAGCGCTGCTTGTACTTTCAGCATTTGGGCTTCCATTGGCCTCGTCGTCATTAGTGACCGTAGAGACTGCAATAGCATCCTCACTTGTGACCATAAAATTCTCTTGTGCCAAGGCTTTCTGTACTGCTCTTGCTTCTGCAGTCTTGGCCCTCGCTTGCACCTCGTTCTGTTCTCAGTTCATGAGGTCTGTCAGTAACTTATGGGAACATATGCACATTCAGTCTGATGGAAATGTGCACGTATATATATATATATATATATAGATAGATAGATAGATAGATAGATGATTGGAATGCATTGCATTAACAGTGCACATTTCGGGATAGAAAGGGGCAGAGGTGCCAATCTTGTAATTCAATGAGGCGCTGTGAGATATGATTTGATGGTAGCGAAAGAGATGAAGGTGTTTGAAGATTGCCTGAAACTCTAGGATGTGGCTTTGATGCTCAGCCTGCCGTTGTCCAACTTCGCTCAGAAGCTCGCCCACAAAACTGCCGATGCGGTCGGTAGCAGTTTCTACGAGTGCTTTTCCCAGAAAGAAGACATCTAGTAATAGCTTACTCTCAGAGTGACCTGCCAAACACAAGAACGAGCAGCCCGCAATAGATTATGCTGCACGCTCAGTGGAAACTTAGAGCAGATTACTCTTGCGTAGTCGAATGCTAATTAAATCATGAATTCCTTCCACGGATGCTCTCATGATGCAGAGAAGAATAGAATCGCCGAGAAGTCGCTACACACAACAGGTTTTTAATCTCACGCAAACTCTCTAGAGGGTAATCTTTGAGCAGCAGTAGCAAAGGCCAGACTAACGATTTACATTGTATAGCTCAATGAAAAATGTGAGTGAACAGCCTAATCCAACAATAACGATCATTCAATTAGGAACTCGCTCGAAAGACCATGGACACATTACAACAACATCCAACCGTCAGTTCAGCGAGCTCCTACACTTCAACGAATTTTCTGCGCTTTAGGGTTAATACAACACTAGACCAATACGTCAAATCGAAGTAGGAATATGGTATGCAGGTTCAGCAGCAAAGGCACGACAAGAGTACAGTAACAATCGGAGTATAGGGCATTTCAAAGACACTTCGTGGGACATCCTAGCAGCGGACCCAATTAGGCACCGAGTGTCAATCTTACATGCAACAGCCTTCTCCCTCGTTCTGACGCTCTCATGCCTCACATTCTACACGAACATGAATTACGACCCACCCAAATACCAACTTTCGCAATACAGACGAAGCAGCACGACGTACCAACAGACCCGCGCCCCTGCTGCGGTGACATGCGAATACCTCCCCTGAGCGACTGAGCACAATTTTCCTTCAAACCAAAATTTCTCGGCTGTTGCTGCAGCTTGTGTTGGCAGGACATAACCAAGGAATGCCTCAAGAACCTGCATTCAGAGGCGAGCGAAGACGAGGCGAGCGAAGACGAGGCGAGAAGCCCGGTCATCGCCGTCGCCATGACTATTTCACTAACTCATTACAAATCGGTGCCACAATGCCTCCTCTCGGAAATTGACGGAAAGGGGCTGGTGGTCCGTGATGGAGCACGAATTATCCAAGCTGGGTTTTCGCTCGCCCCTTCGGAGCGTTGTTGCATGATGTGCATTAATTTGTGTATGAAGAGAGAGCTTGTGAGTCTCGTGATGGCGGAGCAACACCCGAGGCGCATGAGGTTCGAGGGCCCGAATGGGAGAAAAATGGAATCGGCGTCCCGATCGACGATCTCAACGAGCCTGACACGTCGATTGAACATAAAATAAAATAATAAAAATAATACTGAAAATAATATAATTTGTGGATTTTAATTGCATTCTAGTCCAAAGTCAAAAAATGAAATCTAATTTATTTCAGAAGATTACATAAAATTTTATATTAATATTTTAATAAAATATCCAAATTGAATTAAAATAAGTAAAAATTTAAAATTATTGTTGTTTAAAATAAATAAAATTCCAAAAATAAATCTATGGAACTTGATAACTTTTAATTAAATAAAAATATAAATTTTATGAAAAATTACTATTATAATTTTTATCATATAAATCATATAAAATGTAATTGTGTGTAATTGAAAGAAATATGTATATATACATATGAATAATACAATGATATTAATTTTTTAAGTAATTCTATAAATTTAAACTATACATATAATAATAATATAATTATGCTTCTTAATATATATATATATATATATATATATATATATATAAATAAAACAATTTATGCAATTGTGTGTGTACATATATTTTATTTTAAATTTAAAACACCAGAAGGTGATAAATCCTATGTGCACATCATCTTACATATGTCTTACAACATAAAAAAAAGATATACATACTTTTTTAAAATACCTATTATTGATCAAAATTACAAAAAATCTGTGGTGTTTTTGTAACTAAATGAATTATTAAATATGACTATGTGAATATAATTGTTTTATTTTTTTACAGGAGAATTATATATATATATATATATATATATATATAAAATAACTGGTACAAATTCGTGCAACAAATGCAATTTGATGATGTTATAGTCATAAAAATCAGCCACTTAAATCTACAAAAAAGAAGAAATTTACATATATATATATATATATATATATGTTCTTTGCTTTAAATTGTATATTAAAAAAAAACTGTTTCCTTTTTAACGATTCATGATTTTAAAATCAAATGAGTATGCTTTAAAAAAAAAAAAATTTATGTATGAAAGAAAGTAACATTGAACAATTAAAAACTTCTAATATGTTAGGAATTGCCAAGAGCCCATGTAGATAGAATCCAATAAATTTTCTTATATATATATATATAATTCAAAATTTACTGGTTTATTTCGATATACGTATTGAAAATTTGTCAGGCCTTTATCCAATATTTCTTAAATAAAAAGCCAATGTTTTGATATAACAATATCTTTAAGTTCACAAAATTTTCTTTCAAAAAGCATTGTCTTCCTTAAGCCCTCATCTACTCTCCATGCCATAGGATCCACATTGAAGGGATTACCCCTCGATTCCCTCATTCAGACCCGTGCCAAAGGCTCCCACCTCAAACCTCCATTTCAAAGCTGCACTTTTATATTAAACTCCACAGTCCTATCACAAAGACTATTTTGGAGATTAAAAATTTATTTTCCCTATTTTTAATAAATCAGCGTTGTGTAGGCATATCTTCAAAAAAAAATCTTATAATTTTAAGCATAAAGTATATTATATATATATATATATATATATATATATAGATAAATAATTTTCATTTAAGTTTAATACATACTAATTAAAAGTATTTTCTCACTAAACGTAATAAACCAATAAAAAAAATAACATATCACCTAAATGAAATAAAATGTAAGTTTGAATTTGTAATTATTTTAGGGAGCTGTTAAATTGTCACCCCCTTTTATTGCATGAACACCCCCTCCCCCCACCTCATGCCATATACCCCTACATATACATAGTAAAGCTCTTATGTGTATTAAAAAGTTTTCAGATAAATTTATAATAAAAGATTCTCCAAATGAAATTAACAAGTTTTTTAAAGTAAAATGAAGAATTACTTGAAATATAATATAGATTTTTTTAAAAATATTATAAAATAAAAACTACAATCTAATGTATACAAATATGTTTTTTTATAAATTCATCCTAAATATTTTAAATATAAATAAGACATTTATTTCGTGTATGTAGGGAGCATGGCACAAGGAAGTGCCTACATAGCAAATGAAGAGTGTCTACCTAGTGATACCCTTTATTTAAATATACCACATCTTTAATAAGATATAAATTATATTTAATACATACATATTACCATATATTTTTATTTTGGTAATACAAGTATTAATAGAAAAACCAATCATAATCTTAAGTTTTTAGAATATATATATATATATATATATATATAAGATTATTAAAATTAAAAATTAAAATCTATCTATTATCCTATAAAGATTATAATTGAGAATATCTTGATTACGATAGTTAGAAAAGCACATATTGAGATCCGTACTAAACTTTTGGTTCTAACTATTTAAACCAAATTTAAACTTTATATATAGTAGTGATAATGAAAACTACAAATAATAATAAATTATATGATTTTGTATACCCAAATTGTCACATTATTGCCTAGTTGCATACAACTAAGTCATCCATTGCTTCAACCACATATGAGTATCTTATTATATACTTGCATATGGCCAAGTCAACTACCTTCAAAATAGCACCAAATAAACATTATATTTCACAAAGTTGCTAACTTGCACCCTTAGAAAAAACAAAAGAGACAATTAGAAAAACTTCTCACTTTTCCTTTTTGTTGATGTAAACAGTGACCAAACCTTCTTTGCCAATCCACCAATTTATAGTTATGTTAAAAATAAAAAATAAAAACTCAAACTATTTTGGACAAGGTTAATTACAAACTCAAGCACTTCACGACTAGTTTTTCTCTATTCACATCACAAGAAATTGAATACAGTACAAACTATCCAATTGCATATTGTGTAAATGCATAACCTCTCGGAATGCGTGAGAATCTGCCGGGCTGACCTCGGGCCCATAGTTAATACTTAACGCATAACCTGTGTTGTTTATGTATAACCTGGTTAAATGCATACCCACCTCCTGGTCCTAGCTCTATGCAATTACATAGGTTCTACTGTATTTGGATTAATTTGTACTACGTTCCAAATACAATCGAGGTTTCCAAGTCTTTTATACGATGACGTGTAGGAGCAAGTGACACGTAGACTACAGCGGGGCAACGGGGATGAATGCGGAGGAGGCCGAGCGGATGAACGGAGAAGGGAATGATACAAATGAATATAAGTTATGAATGAACGTGACATGGATGGGTATTTTTTGGATGAAATTCGGTCTGACGCGGTGGAGGGTGTTGGTCTGATTGAGGCGGAGAGTGGCCGAGAATGGCCGATACAGGGCCACGCTGTGGCAGCGGCTCCGGACACAGGCGCAAAGCGGTGGATCTTGTGATCAGGTCGAATTGCATCTGGCTCCGTGACGAGACGAGTGTTGGTCTTATTTCGGGAGGCTGGTTTTAGGAGAGAGATCTTACTGCTGCCGAAGCAGCAAGAAATCGCCGTCTCTTTCTTTAGAAATGCCTCAGTAGCGGCTATGGCGGATTCTCCCTGCATTTCCCCTGTCGTCACGCCTCCTCCATGATGAGGATGATGTGCGTGGAGTGCGAGAGCGACGTTGCGATTCTTCCTTTCATCCATCCAGAGTGGGCCTTCTCATAATCCCTGTCACTTGTGCCGTCCCACTAGTGGAAAATGGCCTGTCGGCTTGCTCGAGATCGGAGATGCGCCCGCCGTGCCATTCTCTTCGGGAGGTTGTAGTTTATGGGTCCGTGTCTAGGATCAGTGTGTGGAAGCCGATTCAGTTGGGTTACGGGCTTTGAGATCAACGAGATAGTGGTTTTCTTTTTTTTCTGAAACGGGAGTGTTGGTGAAGCTGCTCGGTTGTTTGGTGATGGTGGGGTAGATGTGGATGGAGTTGCGCGTTTCGACGTTGATAAATGTCCTGAGGAGCAAGCAATGAATAGACGGTTAATCTTGGTTGAATAGCGTTAAGTTTTGTATTGAGACATTTGAGAACAGGTATGGGGTCTTTTTACTCTTTATTTATTTATTTATTTATTTATTTAATTTTGATGTTTTGTGGGAGCGGTAAACTTTGGGATGTTCTGGTTAGGGTTTGACAGATTCCGTTGGTAGATTGTGTGGTCTTGATAGCGATGGTTGGCAGCTCTTGTCTTAGATTTGAACGATTAAGGAATCTTTTGCGCATGTAGTTTCCGGTCGGTGTGGTACTCATTTGTGGGGCTAAGTGTGTGCTGCCTTCTAGCTGTCAATGCTTTCGTGATTTTTGCTTTTTTTTTTTGCCACGTTGGAGTGGTTTGTGGTTAGTTCTATCGTTTGAGGCTGCTTTGCCCGCGTCTGGTGTACTTCTCGGGGTCTCTTTCAGATCAATAAATAACGATCTATGCTTTCTTTCTTTTTTTTGGCATTGCTGGAATGGTACAGTTGAAGGGACCATGCTTTAATCACTCGGGCAAGATTGAGTTTCGGATTACATGTTCACACAGAGCTGCATTTATGAAGCAATTATTTGGTTCAGAGACTCTCAGCACGATGGCGATGACCGACATTCTGGTAGAAAATAGTGCACATTCTGGGATGTGCAGGTCCGAAGATGTGCCAAAGAATGATACTACACTTCTGACACTATAGCGTTTAGCGGGACGGCTTTGGACAAGCACTTTGTTTTCGCAGTATCTAGGGTGTGCAGAATGTCCTCGTGGGATGCGCATATGCTTATTCAGTAAATTTAAAGCTTCCATTGAAACTTCTACTCTCCTGCCTACCTGTTACCGTCAAGGGATTCATAACCTACATTCGCTGAAGAATTTGTGCAAGTAGCGAGGGATCTCATCCTACCTGTGGTTCGTTGTTAGACTTTTATCAAAGTTTCAAGGCTAGTTTGCGATGGTATAAGAGTGAAGTTGCGAAGTTTCTTTCAATGAAGAAGACCTTTACGATCAGCAGGGTTATCACCAAGATAGAGCCTTCAGAAAACCATTCTAAGATCCGTCTCAAAACAACGAATTAAGTTGCTCAGCGAGTTAGCCGCTATGTATTCTGCTCTGAACACAGAGCCGCCTGTCGAACCTCCGCCTACTACAGCATGGGGCGTAGAAAGAGGAGAAATGCAAGATAGAATTGACACTAAGCGAAATGTAAGGTCATCTCGTCCGAGAAAACCAACAAAGGTGAAGATGCAAGATGTCTACTCGTTCAACCTTGAAGTTTCCCGAGAAGAGGCATCCATTATACATCAGGTGAAAGAGAGGGTAAAGGAGCAGGGTCGGGTATGGTGGGCCATGGAAGCCAAGAATGGTGCGGGCTGGTACTTGCAGCCAGAGATATTTGCTCAAGCTGAAGGATATTTCGTTTCGTCTCTGTCGTTAGTAACTATGACAAGCACATTGCAGCTGAAGAAGTTGATAAGGAGTGGAATTCCTCCGCTACTCAGACCACGAGTGTGGAGTGCAGTCTCAGGAGCAAATAAAAGGAGGTCATCTGCACCAGAGAGTTATTACAGTGATTTGTTGGCAGCAGTAGAAGGGCGAGAAACTCCTGCCACGAGGCAAATCGACCATGTAACTATCCTTACCACCTTCGAGAGCACTTTTGGTCCGTTACAACCCGATTACATGCGAGTCATGCTTAGATAACCAGTATCAAAGTGCAGTTGTTTGACACATTCGTCTTTGTATATTGTGTTCCTCTAAATACAGGATTTGGGACGCACTTTCCCGACTCACCCTTGGATCGACTCTGCTGATGGACGAGCTGCTCTGAGGCGAATACTTGTGGCGTATTCTTTCCGTGATTCCCGTGTTGGATATTGTCAAGTAAGTATGCGTTGTATCGCTCTACTTGTATTAAAGCTCGTGGCTTCATGAAGGAACGAAGATTGGTTGGGTTCAATTTTGAAGACCGTCTTTTATTTGTATCATGTACTCTTCCTGTGGTAAAATTGCGTTACTGGTCCTCATTGTGCGGAATTCTTTGATATAATTTTTCCACCTCTCGTGGACTGACAGCAACATCACTGGGGTGTTCAGGGCATGAATTTCGTGGCAGCAATGTTACTGCTAGTAATGAAAAAAGAAGAAGATGCCTTTTGGATGTTGGCAGTACTGGTGGAGAATGTGTTGTTTGATGACTGCTATTCAGAGAACCTGTATGGATGCCATGTCGAACAAAGGGTCTTTAAAGATCTACTGAGGAAGAAGCTCCCAAGGTCCCATTTTGCACCCTCTTTATCATCTTTCTCTGTTTTTAAATTTTCTTAAAATTATTAACAATAAAATTTCACCTGTCGACACGCACAATGATTTGTTTAAAATTAACTGTGTTGTGGTAACCTGCAGGTTGGCTGTGCGACTAGAGGAGATTGAGTTCGATGTTTCTTTGGTCACGACTGAATGGTTCCTCTGTCTCTTTGCTAAGAGCCTCCCATCAGAGGTGTGTTGCCCCGATTGTCTTTGATATTCCCGTGCACAGTATCTGGACATTCTTGAGCTTCATGTTTTCTTCTTTGAAACATTTCATTATTTATCTCCTCTCTGCTTTATGCACTTGATAGTTCATCTATGCCTTGTGCGACAGACTACAATGCGCGTTTGGGACGTCCTATTCAACGAAGGCGCAAGCATTTTATTTATAGTGGCATTGGCCATTTTCAAGGTGTGATGGTCACCTTGCCTGGGGTTTTTTTTGCTAGTTGCACATTAATTGATAGAAGCTTGTTAAATAATCGTATTTGGCTGATGTCTGTTATTGGTTAGTATGCAGATGAGAGAGGAAGAATTATTTGCGGCAAAGCATGTGGGTGAGGTGATGAAGATTCTGCACGATGCTACTCACGGTGCTTACGACCCAGATGAATTGCTCAAGGTATAAAAATATGTTCCCTGCTGTTATGTTGCGAGTTGCTCATCCAGTTATAAGGTTCCTAGTACTTGGAGATTTTTTTCTTTTCAAAGGTGCAAGAGAAAAGTTCTCAGATTGCTTTTCTCTTTTCTTTTTTTCGTTGGGTGGGATCAGGTTGCTTTTGAAAAAGTTGGAGTAATGTCACTACAATCAATAGTTAAACAGCGCAAGAAGGAACAACCCGCAGTGATTGCTGAGCTGGAGCGGCGAGGGCAACTAAATCCTTCCGACTCTGTTCAAAGCTCTTCTCGGTAATGGAGTGCAGTCTAGTAATGCTATGGCTGCACTATGTTTCTTGTAGCTGTTATTATAACCACCTAAGATGTCCGCTGGCAAAGTTGAGAGTACTAAGGTGATTTAGGTTACATTACTGAAGATCGAAAACTGAAAAGTTTGTGATGAGGTAGCACCCAGTGTTCTGGAGGATGTTGGTGCTTGTGAGTGCCATGTTCACTGAGATTTCATAATCACCAAAAGTGGTGAACATTTTGGAGTGTCAGGATGTCTAGCTGGGCTTATGGTTTGGTATTAGTTCATTTATCTGCAGTTGTGCTCAGTAAAGGACTCAACGACTGCCTCAAAGAGGCCTGTAATTTATGAGTTAGACTCTTGAAATGGAAAGCTTTTCTTGCAGAGGCGATTATCACATCACGTTAGCACCAATTTTTTTTCGCTGTGAATCTTAGCTTCTAGGTTTATGGCTAGTTCTCTGGCCTCTTATGCTCCGATTTTGCCTAGCCGAACAGTTAATAATAGCTAAGAATTTGTGAATATTGTAGACATTTATATCAAGTGGATACCTGCTATTTGTTTGTTCCTGAGCAGAGATCTATCAACTCCACTTACCTGGGATTAATAGCAGTGGACCAGATAACAAGGCCTTTGAGCTACTCTACCGGGAGGAATTTGCTAGTCAAGTCTGCCTTCTGCATGACATGTCCTGGCATGTCATGCAGAAGCTATTGGTGTGCGAAATAGCTTCTGCATGACATGCCAGGACACTCACATTTCTCATTTATCTCTAAATGGGTCTTTATACCTAAAAATTAACTTAAAAATGTCATGGTACAAAAATAATTACCAAGGTCCTTCACTTGGTAAAGAGAAACTCTCTTTTGGAAATTTTGGTTTTTGGAGATAGGGTAAAGGAAGAATAGGGCATGATATGAATTAAATCATTTCTTTACACTTCTTGCATTTTTGTAAAAATCACTTCTTGAAGTGGACATATTGCAAATTTTTAAAGATAACTGTATTCATGCCATGTAGGAGAAAAATACATTTCATCTCACTTTTACTCTTAAGACTTTTAGAATGATTTTTATAAGAACAAAGCCAACTAACTGAGACTTTTAAATCGCAACCAATCAAAAGTTTTAAAAGTTGTGGCCTCTCACCTTCACTTTTAAATATAATATAACTTATAGATAGAAAAAAAAAAAAAAAATGTATTAAATGTAAATCTTAATTGATTTATAAATCAAGTAAATTTTATAATAATTTCTTATAGATTTTTTTTTTTTTTTTTTTTTTTTTTTTTTTTTTGAATTAAAGGCAAAGTTTAAAGGAGAATTTATATAACTTAATTAGAGGATAGTAGATTCCCTTTAAATTGATGTCACTTTGCAATATACTTTAAAAAATTGCTTAAATTTGGAAAAACTAGATTCTAGTTCATTGCTTTGATAAGACTCTAAATGCCTTTTTATTAGAGAATATTATATCAATGAACATCTTTGTAAATAATCATCTAAGAAGAGCATTTAGGAGGTAGGTGGGTTGGTGAGGGAGGAGAGACTAGGATCCATACTTATATAAGAAAATAGAATTTACAAAAAAAGTGTCAAAAATAGGATATGATGTGAATGACTTATAGATTCCTTGTGTGATCTTCTATAAGTCATTTTGAAATAGGAATAGACTATCTCAAAAAAACCAAGATCCTTCCAATCCACAACAACATAATGCCATCTCACAAAATAGGATAAAATAGACTAGAACAAAATTGAACGAAATTAAACAAAATAAGACATGAAAAACAAAACTGAGCAAACAGAAATAGAATAGAATAGATCTAAACAAAAAGATGCATAACCAAACTTTACTAAGAGAAAAGATCCAAAACCATACTTAACCAGATGCCCCGAAAGGCCCTGGCTAGTCCTATTTATTCCTTGTCCTACTACCTTAGACTTTCTAGAATGTTCTTAGGTAGTGGATCCTACCTAAATAACCGCCTTAAACTCTTTTTCTAAAAGTTTTTATGGTGGACTCCACCTAAATAAATGCCCTAAACCCTTTCTAGAATGTTCTACGATGTGTTCTACTTGGTCCACTAACCTAACCTCAATTCTAAAAACTTCCATGGTTTTAATTATCTATATAGTTATTTTATCTATACCCTGTTATACATTCAATATTAGTTTTTGGTACAATTTTTTATAAATCATTGAATTTATGTATGAATTTTATATTTAAAAAAAAAATTATTAACTCAAAAATTTATAGTACAAATGTAGGAGATAAATATGTACATATGCATATTTCAAAAATTTATAGGTTCTATTTGTAACATTTTATTTGGAATCTATTTTTAAAATATTAAAAATATATATGTATTTTTAATAAAAATATAATTTAAATAAAATAATTAAAAATATCTTTAAAGTAATTTGAATTTATAACTTTTTATTTTTTGCTTTCTTCTAGCTTGATAAAATAGCTAGTGGCATATGAGTGCATATATATATATATATATATATATATTTGTGACATTAAAAGTTTTTGTAGTATTGTTTTCCTATATACTTTTACAAAAATAATATCTTAAATACTAATTATGATAACAACATTTGCTAGCATATGATGTTTAGACATAAAATTGAGCCTTTGTAAATAAGCAAAACTAGGTGCTCTTAATTTACAATAACAAGGACAATTGGTTCTATTATTGATTAAAAATACACCAAATTCTCCTTCAAATACTTCTATTGCAATATATGAAGAAGAAGTTGGTATTCAAAACCTTATGTATAAAGTTTAAAATGACAAATTAGAGATTCTATGTATTATTTCATTTAAGATTGTGAGGAAGGACAGAACTTGTAATAATCCACTTTAATCATGTTATTAGGCATTTGATTAAGACATTGCATTATAATTTGAATAATTTATTGCATCTCTTTAATACAAATATGACAATGGTCATAACAATCTCCTTTGGTGTCTATAGATACTCAAAACTCAAAATAAAAATTGTAAAAATCATATAAAAATTGTAAGCTAGTTTTTCTAATCTCTTGGCTTTTCTATGAACTTGTCATCTATTGGCAAAGTAGATACATAGATAGAATAGATTGCATAAGTTCTCTTATAGAATCTAACATGATGATTAGTAACAAAGATCATTTAAAATTTGATTACATTAGTTAAGGTGAGATATCAAGTTAATAACAAGGTAGTATAAATTTATCTATTGTATTTATTTGATTATTAGCTAGGTCATGACATATACCAAAAAAATTGCAAGATATCATTTACTATTGATTTTTACTTTTGTTTGTATTCTATGAAATTCATATGATTTATGATTTATTTAATTTACATAGAAAAGAGATAATAATTAAATTAGAATAATTAATAAGTAAATAAATTATAAAAATAAAATAAAAATGACCTGATAATGTTATAAAATAAGTAGACATTTAAGTAGAAATTTGAATAAAAAAATATCTATAATAGTACATTTAGAACCATACTACATATTCAATAAGGGCTTTAATTCACTTAAGTTGTAAAATAGAATTTTATCTCAAATTTATTAAAATAAATTTTAATCACAATATTCCAGTAATGATCATGTCAAGAAAATTTTATTTTTTGAAATAAATTATTTCAGTGTTATGAATTCAACTTCTAAAAAAAATTATTTTTTTCTTTTTCCTTTTTTTTTCTTCCAATAGAAGTGTTATATTTTCTTAATTAGCACTAGTCAGATTTTCGTCAATGTCAATACCAGGCTGTGTGTGTATATATATATATATATATGTATTCCCATTTCTGTTATTTTTGGTCACATAACCGGACTGGTACGCAGATCGTACCATGCATCGTAATACCCGTATCGCCCTGGTATCATCAGAAACCACGACCACTCAATTGAGGTACGTGACGGGACGGGTCGCCGGGTCTCGTGCCGTCCCCAGTTGTGAAGCTCTTGTGGCTTGGAACCAGCCACTGGGAAGATCGCATGCACAGCGCTTGCCTTCGATTACGAAGTTCTCGGTGGGATTGCGTTGAATGAGCCATCGTTTCCCTCAGCAACCCGAAATTAAATTGCGCTTCACGAGGAAGAGAGAGAGATAGGGCGCCGGAGGGCAGCGAGTTTTTGGCCGGTGCTTGTAGGGGTTGCGTGATGGGTGTAGCGCCATTCAATGGCCGCGGTGTCGGCTTTGGTAAGTCTTCCTCCACTCTAAATTCCTCAATCTGCACAGGATTCCTCAGCTTGGCTCGGTAATTTCTTTTTGTTTCTGCTGAGTATTAGGGCTCGATCCCATCTAGTTTCTTTGGGGTTGTTGAATTGCTTCCCCGGAGGATATGTTTCCGGTTTGCAGTTCGGCTTCTTTACAATTCCTAGCTTGGCTTGGAAAGGTTTGTCGACTTTGCTTTTGAATTCATGGGTTTGTTTAGATTTTGTTAGCTTTTCTTTGGAGGTAGATATTGTCCTTGAAGACAGGAGGGAAAGTCTCGGTGCATGGCTGAAGGGCAGCAGTGTTATACCTCTGCTGACATTATGGCTACTTTGGTGGGTGTAGGTTTCGGCATTGGGTGCGGATTTGGGGTGGGCTGGGGTTTCGGAGGTAGAAGCCTCGTCCTGGTCAACCCTATTTCGTTTTGCTCCTCTTGATGGTGTATGGAATGAATTCTAGTGAGGGATTTTGTCACAGTCGTGGTATTCTATTCTATTACTACCGTTTGTTAGCTCATAGCTTCCGGTGATATCCTCCAGTTCTAATGAGTAATTGTGCTTTGTTACCAATCCTTCTTCAGGTGCACCATTGAACACCCTTGGAATTGGCGTGGGTAAGCCCTCATGACAGTGTGTTCAGTTTTGATGCTGTCACACGATTTTTGTCTTGATATTATCAATTTTATGAACATGTCATCTTTATCAATGAAACACGGTGCTGTTATATTGTCACACAGCCGATATCTGACACGATAAAATAATGTGTTTGGGTAACTGATACAGGAGGAGGTTGCGGTATAGGTTTAGGGTTAGGTTGGGGATTCGGTGCTGGTTTTGGAACTAAGTACCTTGACTCGAAGCTGCGATTTGAAGGCATTGATTTCGAAAAAATTAAGGAGGAGCAGCAACAGGGTCAGAAAAGGTTAGAAGAGTCTAGCTGACATAAACTCAACTGACCCCTTTCAGATTCGGTTAGAAGGTAGGATATTCAAAGAGATGAAGTGACCATAGATTTCTAATAGCGGCCCTGTTTCTTCAATATTTGAAACAATTGAAATCAGGTAATCAGAATGAACTTTACACCAACATAATAGCTGCGGATTACTGCTTACTCCGTGATGCACTGTGTATTGTATACTCGATAGCTTTGCGTACAGCATACTTGTGTTGATTTGTTTGGGTTTTAAAACTTCATTTCACAAACATTCAATTCTCTTTCCATGTTAACAATTGCACATAAAATTGCTTACAAATGGTAGTAGATCCAACGTCAGTAGTACCACATTACTTGTACTACTCTTGTATTAGGGCTATCCAAACACACTTTATTATGGATCACTTGCAGGTTGACGTATCCACAATATCTTCTTTGTCGATGAATCAATTTTTTGAATACATGAGGTTTGCTTGTAATTTTTTATTAGATAAAAAAAAGTCCAAAACGACTGGAGTGTTAGCTAAAACTGTTATTTAAGCTTCTTGAATTCAATTTATTTTGGAAAAAAGGTGCAGGATGGTCGACATAACTTTTTACTTTGAAAAACATTAGAATTTACGTAATATTTCAATTGTCACATGAATGAAGTAGAATTATTTTAGAATATTATCAATTCATCCATATCAATAAAAATAATGTATTAAATAATTGTAATTACATATTGATATATTTTGATTTTATTAATCTTACAATAGGAACATTTAACTTGGAATTTTAGTTTTTGCTTTAGAATTTTCACAATACAAAATCGCTAAAACAAAAACAATTTTGAAGGATTTTAGAATTTTTTGAATGTAAGTTTTGATCATGGTGATGATATGTACATGTGTAAAAATATTTTTTTCACATGCATCTAGAATGGTTTGACACAATTTTAAATAACCTAATAAAATTTGGGAAATGTTGAGTGGACACCTTTTTATTGTATGGATCTCCCCTCCATGTGCCATGTACCTTTGCATACATAATAATATCAACATATTTAGAGCCTTTCACAAAGAAAATAAAATGTAGTAAACATGCAAATTGCATGCAATAGAAGAAGACTTATTGGCCTTCTTTTCTCCTCAAGCACCCAATAAGAATCTTTTGCAATCAACTTAATGGAGAATAGCAAAAAAAAAAAAAAAAAAAAAAAAAAAAATTGTACCACATAAAATCTACCCATAATTTGTCATTAAAAATAATTCAAATGAATATTAGCATAAAATAGCCTTCAATAGCAAAGAAAAAAATATTTTAATATGACATACTTATTGTACACTTACTGTGATACAATATTAGTTTTTTGTATCAAAATATGAAAGAAAAAATTCACAAGATTTTGATGATAATAATTATAAGTGTATATATATATATATATATATGTATATAGTAGTAGAGCCCTATGCCGTTGGCCACAAAAAATTATTGTAAACTATGTGCTATAAATCAATCTTTTGTTCAATGCTTCATATGATCTAAAATCCCATCATGCATGTCATTCCACTATGTTCCATGTCATTCCACGTTGTGGTGCTTCCAAGCTCCATACCTAGTGATCTCACAGTGCTACTCTTTGCAATCTGTACCAACATCATTCAGATTTTGATTTATGATTGATTGAAACTTGAGTTATTGCTTCACTTTTGATAAAAACAATGAGATATGCAACCAATCAAAGATGGTTTTTGTCTCCTTTAGTTTATCTTGTTGGTTTATTTCCCTAAGTTGTTTTATATAAGAGATATTTACAAATAAATACAAAATAATTACATTTAAGTATTTAAAATATAATTTTTAATATTTTTTAAATACAAGTTTGAAATTTTCATTCAAAATAAATTAAATATTTTTTACATTTTAATATAAAAACAATATATTCAAGAAAAGAAATTAAGAACAAAAAAAAAAAAAAACATGAGAAAAATAAATCATTAGATTAAAACAACAATAATTAGTAACCAAAAAAGAAAAGATTAAGATTTCACTATAGAATTTATTAACAGCAATACCAATCTAGGTTTGCCTAATGTATTGAAATTCTTTTTCTGTTTTTATAAATTTTGTATAATTGACAATACTTGACAACAAGCTGAGAGGCTGGTTGGGGGAGTTGTAGGTTCACCAAGCGCCTCGTTTGAATCTAAGCACAGTATCTTGTATGGAGAGTTGCACAAGTGCACAACTTTATTTTGATTTAACCACCAGCCTTCTTCTTCTTCTTCTTTCTCATTCTCCCCTTCCTTCCCTACCCCTTAGCACACCTCTCTTCATTCCTCCTGAACACTCAACCAAACACTTGTCCTCTTAGCACTTGATCACTAGTGCTGAGTTTCTGTTGGCATGGGCACATACAATTACATAAATAAATAAATAAATAAATAAATAAATAAATATACATACATATCTAATTCCATAGATGGATGAAACAAAAGAATTGTATGGTACCCATTTGGGATGCCATTCTGTCCTAGCCATCAAGCACCTTGCCATTGGACAATTTTGGAATACTTTAACTAACTCATGTGAGGTCTCACTTTTTGACGGGGAACAGACCACTGTTGCTGGACCATGCCCGAAAATTTTGTACCGAAATTAATCCATGTGCCATCCTTTGAAGGATTTTTACTCATAATTAGCGGACAGTATGAAGTGTGAGATTTGAAGGTCACTTTGCACAATGTCACTGAAACTTGATGCATTCATGCATAAATTCGGATGAGTTGTCTTTCACGCACCCCCTGCATAATCGACGTACAATGTGAAATGGTGTAAACTGGATAACAATGTAGCTTTTCAAGACGTCTGGAATGGGTTGTCCAACTGGCTTCCGAACGGTTGTAGGTGGTGGCTACCTTGTCAATCTGGTTCTCTTCAGCATCGTGTACAATTAGTCAAAAAACTAAACACTGAGCATGGGACCCCTTGCTGACTACGAATCTATTGCCCTCGTGTGCGGTGGGCTTCGTTTTTTATAATAGAGACTACACTTTTTCTCAGATTCTCTCTAGTCGGAATATTTTGTCGAATTTCAAGCAGACAGACAAAGATTGGAAAAGGTTCATCGTTACTGTGTGAGAAACCTGAAAAGACGAGTATTCCCCTTTTCCAGTGTGGCTAACCACGGGAATGATACTGATGCATTTTTTTCCGAACAGTTCGGTTGATTCAGCATCTAATAAATTTGCTGAGGTTTCAACCGCCTTGTGAAGTCCTTCTGAGCTGCACTATTTGCAGAACCGGTTGATCGTGTGTTTCATATTGTCAGTCCCCTCCTTCCTGAAGATGTTCTAAGTCACTTCATGCCGTTGATTGGACGGGGAGGACTTTTTGGTTAGAATGTCCTTCGAAAGCTTCGTTTTACGATTCAAATCAAGGTAATTCAGTGGACTGCCATATGAAACCACATCGGAGAAAGCTTGATGAATCAAATGGTGATGTATAGGTTGATTCAGATGCAGGAAGCATAAAAGTAGGTCTTGCAGCTCATCTTGTCGCTGCCACAAGTTCTTCTCCTGCATCATTTCCAACATGGAATCGCGAAAATCGGCATAAGGGTCACTCGAGTCTTTCGCCAAAGCAATGCTCTCTTGAACAACCATATCGGAGATTCCTGAAGGAAACGAATCAACATCCTGTGAAGAATTTGTTATGGGGTCTTTCGAAACAGTTTGGAATGACGTCTGTGCGTCGAGCTGGGCTGCACTGAAATTTAATGCAGCCATTGCTGGTCGAGGTCTTTGTTGCCTTCGTGGCGAAGCCATGGGCGAAGGCTTGCTGTTTGCCGAAGATTTCGTTCTCGGGGAATCACGACATTGTCTGTGATGCTGAGGGGAGTTCGCCGGTGATATTACAGTTGATCGCCTTTGAGGGGATCCATGCTGGACGTTCCGACCTACCGCCAGCAGCTTCTCCCGCTGGTGTTTCCATGGTATTGCAGGAGCATTGCTAGCGAATGACCGACTTTCCAAATTCCTGCTTGGACGTAATGGCGTGGCATCGGCAGCTGGAGATTCAAACGCATTCTTCAACTGCGAACTCATAAAAGCACAAGGTGTCTCCTTGAAGAGACTGGTCCCATTACATTCAGCAATCTCGAACCCTATTGTCCCACCATTCCTCTCATCCATAGATTCCATTCTGGTAACGGACGACGACTCACCTTTGACAACATAACAGTGACTGCCAACACGGACGATCTCATCCGAGCCTAATTCAATCGCATGCCTTTGTGTGGGAAGAGTCGCATTTGATATACAGCATTCAGCTCGACGAGTACCCACCCTCGATAGTCCTGAGCGCCTCCTTGTCTCTTCGGACTTCTCTGAGGGATCTGTTAGCATTCCGACGTACTCTTCAGGTTGAGCATTATAAAAATTCCTGCTGCAAGATCTCGTCCTTTGAGTGCTCTTCAATCCAATCATCAGCTGTAAGCTTTGAGATTTGGAAGCAGTGGGCACTTCAAGTGGCAGCTGATGAACTTCTGGCGTGCATAGATGGTTCACTTTCTGATTCTTGTGAACATAAATCACTTGAGAATCAGCATTGCTCTCGGATGTCAATCCAGGTGACATATCATACACAACAGCATTGCTTATGTCAAAAGGTGTCAAAGCTTCCTTGCTTTCCTTTCCCCCAACAAAGCCGTCATCTACAACTGGCTCCCCGGAATGATACCATTGGAGAAATCGAAGTGGCGCGACCGAATCCACAGAAGAAGAACAATCACTGTCGAGTTTCATTCGAGAAATTAAATCCCTTAAAATGGCTTCTGTTTTGACAACTTCAAAATCGTTCCTTCTACTTTCTCTAAGTTGTTGCTTCACGGTCAGGAATTTCAGCAGAACCTCCAGATCATCACGACCAGTTTCACAGTCTACTTCAAGTTCTCGAATAGCTGCGGAATCGTCATAAGAATCACTTGATGCGACCAACTTTGAAAGGTCCGGTGAAGGATCTTTTCCCTGACAATGCTTATCTTCTTCCTTGGAATCAATATTTCTGCAAATGTCACCGGTGCAAGATGAGAAGCCGTGATTCTGTCGCATGGAAGCCCGGCCTTCGGTTCTTTCTTTTTGCACAAGGACCCGCTGGATCGATTGCTCCTCAATCAATTGGCTTTTCGACGTAATATTGGATTCCGTTTTTCTGTCCTCTAGAATGAGACCATCGCTTTGGCTCTCTTCATTTTTCAAAGCGGCAGTGCAGAGTTCAACCCTTCGTGGAGTGCCACAACCTTCACTACAATTCTCCTGTTTGATACCAGGCTGATTCCTAACCAGGTTTCTTGCAAGTTCATCCAACTGGCAATCGTTTTCAACGACCCCCTGTCCGACCGTATGTTCATTTCTCAAAGAATTGAGGCTTGCATCCACGTCCTCCTCTACTTCCTCTCGCTGCATCAACTCCCTCAGATTCCAGTGAACATGTTCAGCAGTTCTCAGTTGGTCGGACCATGGAGCCCGCTTCAACAACGCTGCTTCCACTTCTCCTTCTTCCCGAAATATCTTTCTGATAAGATCCCTCCCAGACAGCGTGGAATCGATCCGTGGCTCACAGCGCGAAGTATGGGGATCTGCGGTTTCGTCAAACCGAATTTGAATGCCTTTGGTAAGCGCGTTACGGAGTGATGACTGCGTGGTGACCTCTTCAGGAGCATGCTGTGTGTGTACTGGAGAGTTAACATGCGGTCTTAGCAAGTTGCTGTCGGATGAAGCGAGCTCATCAGTTGTGGACAACGGACATGTAAGTTTACTCTTCAAAGCTGTAGCCTCCTCATAATTATCTGCTGAACACCTGCTGCATGACTCATGTAAGAATGCATTTACTGAAGGTAGCGTATTTGATTTATCAGAACATCTGAACGTTTGAAGAAGGCTAGGAATAGGGACTTCAAATGAGGTTACTGCTTCAGCTAGGGAATTTTTTTAATTTCCTGGCTCTCTGTAACGCCGCATAAATAGCATTAATGAATGATTCATTAAAACTAAAGGTCCTGTCACTGTACGTACATTAATACGTCCCCAGCAATTATATAGATGGTCTCTCATCTATCAGAAACAATCAACCTTGTCAGGACCCATAACGAGCTACTTCCTAGTTGGAGAAGTCATCGTGGCTATCCTACTAAATAGCAGAATATAAAATTTAGTTACTATTTGTTATTGTACACTACTACCGCCCATGTACTGCGAGTCTGTGAATTAGTTCAAAAGAATAAACATGGAAATTCTTCACTCGAATACGTACATCACTGCTCCCGTAACTAAGTGGAAGAATACAAGCGCAATGACGCGGGCTTTTACAATATCGATTTCATGTTCTACGTAAGCTGTAGGCACCACAACTTTGTACGGTTTGCTTTGAACGCAGACATGAGAACCGCTAACATGAGTAAGGGAAGAAACACATTAACTTCAAGTGAGTCGTGACACCTTCACGTACAGAAGCACGGAACGGACAAATGAAAAAAGTTGCTTTATGTGGCATATGAAACGCATGAATGTAATGTAAATAGAATGTTCTCTGACCTGCGAAAAGGGCTGAATTCGGGGCCAATGAAGTTACCCGAGGAGTTAACCTCACGAATACACCACGTTTGCCCCACTGCATGCATAGAGCTCTTGGAATTGCTAGCCTGCGGATTTGCAACCATCTCGTTAGCATTAAATTCTGACCCACAATAACGATCTAGAAATTCCTCTTCCATCCCAAGTCCATGTTGAATATCCTGACTGTTCATCTCAATCACTGATGTTCCACATTACCCCTGAGATTATAAAAGTTTTTCCAGCCCAGGACACACATTTGCTTCTCTCCCTATGCGAAGCTCCTCTCGAGTCATAACTGGAGTACATTATTCCGGAATTTACGATTGCAATGATATGAGAGATATTTTATTTTCGATACACACATTCACCAGTCTTTTTGTGAGTGGATGTTACCTGCGCTGCCAAAATAGAAAGGAACTCCTTCGGTGAGCTGTGAGTTGAGGCACTCTGCCCCTCGCCAGAATCCTGGGAACGGATAAATTTCTGAAAACTCTGGGTCGAACCAAGTGTCCTGTCCTGAGGAGCTTTGTTAAACCTGCTTGAATTCTGAAATTGCAGCAGATCTTGATCGGACCTCTTCCTGTTGTCCAGTCCTACCCGAGACAAAAGTGAACCAACACCATCGGGGATCTTTGCACTATCAAAAGGCGCCAAATTATTCTTCGAAAAGTCCCCACACATTGCATTGTCATGTGGGTTAGGAAACGAAGATAAAAGCTCCCTATCCCCATTTGAGCCACATTTGCATGAAATTGAGGTACTCCTGGCTTCTCGCAAAGTTTCCCGTGTTCCAACCTTTCTATCACAGTGAAATTCTCCTGGGTGCCCTGATTTTCTTGGAACTCCATTCATGAATGACTCCTTAGCCAACTTTCTCAGAATTAGCGTATTAAGTGCATCCACGCCCTCCTTGTTGGTCACAGGCAGATCGATGGTCGGTGTGAGCATGGCCTCCGATTGTCGAACAGTTCTTTTCGAGATTGCTGGCTTCGAGTTCGGTGGGCGCTCTTGAATCACCATAGGAGCTGTCACAGTGTCCCTCAAGCATGTCCTTGACACTGAGCAACCCCATGACCTGTCCTTCATTTCTCTCGGCTGGAATTCGACTGAATCAGAAAAGCAAACGCACCCAGTTCGAAGATAATATTAATGCAGATGCATGTGCTCTGTATTGCTATTTTTACGATTTTGATTCGTATTCTCAAGAGAGTTTACACACACGAAGAATGAGGTCACAATAGTCTAATAGTATTCTTGTCTCGTAGAGTTTCTTTGACTTGAGTTTTAAAAAGAGGCTAATTTCCCTCTATTGTCATCATCCGCAGATTTTAAAAAGTTTCGTCTCTCATATCTCGGTTCTCTGAGATTTCTTTAAGATCTGTCTCCGTTCGGAAGTATGAACCCTTACAAGCATAGTAACGATAGCTGGAGGCTAGGACAGACTACAACCACATATCGTTAGTTCATCTCCGCCTTCCCGCAACACAGAGAACTGCAAGAGATTTGCACAGCTACCTCTTCAGGAGCAAGTGGAACAATATGTATTAATTCCACATATATAAGATGTTGGCTTGCTATATTACCTTCCTACCAAATTCTTTAGAGAAGTAAAGGCACTGGACTAGGGCGTGAGAAAACTACTTTACAGGGCATCGGTGAAAGAATTACAGCTTCATAATCAACGACATCAAATTCATCGATCACCAAGTTTCGGCTCTTGAGTATTATTTCGTCAGGGGTAGCTGGAAGCATTTTCATGGAAGATAAAACCCAGACAAACGCTGGCTAGACATTCTTTGATACTTCCGGGAAGCGCCCACAAATCCGGAATGTCTCACTTGAGTCTTCACAAAAAAAAAACATGACGGTGACCAATTCTTGACTAAAAGCTTCCTCCTAAGTCGTCCTCATCATTAATAGGGTCTACACGCCTTAGGGGAGAGAAAAAAAAAAAAAAAAAAAAAAAAAACCCAGATGAAAGTCGAGTTAAGCAGTACTCACTATGTAATTGAACCTAGGGAAGAAAATTGCTATGACTGATGTCTACAATACTCCTGACACCTACAACACTCACAGCTGTGGGGACTCAATCCAAATTGAACCGGGGTGTGACCGAAGAAGCTTGAAAGTTGTCAATTCAGGCAAAACCAACAGGTCTAATAGATGACTGAAGACGATCATAAGTCTTCGTCATGTAAGAGCCGGTAATCATGATATACTCAGCGATAAGTGCGGGAAACTTGCCCCTAACCTGTCTAAAACAATCACAAACTCAGGAATCTAATTTAAGAAGCTACACGAACTCGAGCTAGATATGAACCTTAATCCGTAAGCGTGCACCCTCACATAGCTAACAGCAACGACTCATCAGGACATTCATCGTTGCAAGGCCCGACATCTCCAGCAGCAACCAGTTCAGTAGCTAGCAGCAAAATCAATCGAAGACATGCAGTACTTTGGATCCCCCCCTGCTCACATTATCGATCTTCAAGGCATTCCCTATTCATCCACCCAGTCTCAGCATGATGACCGTTCTCCCTCTATAAAAATTTGACAATATCCACCTACACAGAAGCATTCAATGAACGCTCGCAAAACCTGTTACGGTTCCACCCCGTCGCCAACTCAACTCACAGGATGCAATTTCACAATGACACAACAATAACAGCGAAGCAATGGTACTCCTCGAGAGAAAAAAATCTGGCGCAGACATCCTCCCCTTCCAAATAAAGCGCTGCGCCTCATTAAAAGCGAAGTGTCAGGTGCGATCGAGGTCAGATTTGATAGTGAACAGACGGACGGGCGTGGGAGGAAAAGAAAAAAGGGGAGCGTAATTTATCTACGAAACACAACAACAGCCAGATGATGGTGACGACGATGCGAGATTGATGACATATCTCGTCCTTCCCCCCTCCATTGCTAATTGGCAATTACCCTAAAGTAAATATGGCAGTGCCCGCACACAGTCAGTCTGGCTGCTGCGAAGTCGTTCCATGCGACCACTGTCGTCTATCTCGCAATTTGTCTCCCCTACCACACGCCTCTTTATCTCTCCCTAACTTCCTCCCTCTCGCTCATGATCTCTCATGCGCAGTACCACGCTGCATGCCCACTGACTGGCCCTCTTTATAGTGACTTCTGCAACTGGTTCGTGCTTTGTCAATGCTCGGCTGTGAACACACAGGTGCGTAGTATTCCTGTGGCTGGGAGATGCTACCGTAGCCAATAATTGTCCCCGCTTCCATTATGAAAACATGTGACATGGATCTCTTTGATGAGCAATGCCTCTGAAAACACGCACACTCCTATTGAACTTGACTGTGAAGGCTCTAGCTCTACACAGCTGAGCTGTGCCGGGATTCATAACATGCAGTGATTGTGAAGAAACACAGGTCCGCTGAAACCGAGCTTTTGCCATAAATTCGCCACGGGGTACAAGCGCAGGCTTTTCACGGCTACGCATTCAAAGCCGTGAGAGTGTCTGCAGCAGCACTGTGACTTGCGTCGCCATCGCCAAATTCCTCGCAGCTACAATTGAGAGAGCAGCCCCTCCTTCCCCTCGCATGGCTCGTGAAGTGCGTCACGAAGCAGGGCGCTCTGCGTTCAACTGCCATCGCCACCACATCAAACCCTAATCCCGCATGCTTCCTATCCTATCTCTCTTCTTCTCATGCAATTCGAGCCACGTAATTTATAATCAAGTTTTGAGAAAATTGGAAGAATTATATATTTTGTCTTGAATTTGCTTGCTGATTACTTCACTGAAAATTATATGACTATAATATATTAATATCTTGCCACCATGCATTACATGCACATTGATGCAATGTTTTTTTAATAAATATTTTTAGGAAATTGTTAAATTGATCCAAGTATTTACTAAATTGATCCACCCATCCTAACCATCATTACAAAATTCTCCACTATTAGATCTGCATTGGTCACAAATCAACAAGAAAATGGTTGGATCTCCAACCTATTAGAATGGGTGGATTGATTTAGTAAATGCATAAATCAATTTAATAATTTATATTTTTAATTGCTACAAAAATATTTTTTGTTGTTTGATAAGAATATCTAAAAATATGTTGATAGAATTTCATAAAATTCATTAAGAAAGAACAAAGTGTGACTATGTAAAAGTAAAGTCTTTGTGTCATGAATATATATATTTATTCTAATATTTATCTACACAATTAAGTAAAAGTATGTAAAACTAGATTTATTTCATAATATTTTTTAGAAAGACTTTGTAGTAGCTTCATAGACGTTGTTTTGATTTTACATGTATTTATAGTTGATTGATAGGTTAATAATTTAGTCAACAAGTTAACTACATGTTGATAGCTTGCGGAACAAGCTAATTATGTGGCACACATATAAAAAATTTGCTTTGTGTTTCATAAAGTCAACACATTTTAGAGATCTTATAGGACATTGCCATGTAACTCTTAGTTAAGAGTATATATGGAGGCAAGAGTGAAGCCTTCTTGACTCTTGTCAATGCCTTTCTAATCTTTATTCTTGTTTCAAGACTTTCTAATTTTTTTTTGTCTTTGGCAATAGCTATTCTTGTTCTATATTATATCATCTTCAAGTATTTTTCTAGTCTTTCTAAGTGACATAAGAGTATATTGAATTTTTCTTTCTTTGAGATTCATGCTTTTGATAGTTTAACAAGAGTCCTAGCTCATTGTTCTTGTCTTGTTTTAAAAGTGAGTAGATTATTTCACTTCTACTATTGTGTTTTGAAGGTTGTGGAGTACCCATGTTTTACCAATTTGTTTAATTTTCTAACACTGATTTTTTCCTTAAAAAGAGCAAATTATCGCTCTTTGTGAAAATTTTCATTTGATATTAGAGGTTACAGATTATCCTCTTCTAATTTGACTTGTGGATTTATTAAGTTGTTTGAAATGGAAGAAAAGGTCCTATTTTTTTCAAGTCGCATTTAAAGCTGATATCAAGATTATCAAGACATCTTTGAAAAAAAGAATGCACATATTCTTCTAGAACATTGTCTTTATGATTGTTCCATTGAACTTCAAGAAAAAACTAAATAACTACTCGGATCAATCTATAGCATATCATAGAATGAATTGGCTACACTCAAGGAATACATTGATAAAAAATTGACTAAAAACTTCATATGTTATATTAAATCTCAAGTGGGGGCTCCTATCTTATTTATAAAGAAAAAAAATGGATTTCTATGGATGTATGTAAATTGTCAAGAATTCAACAAGATCACCATCAAGAGTACATACCCTCTCTCGATGATTTTAAGACTTTTTGATCAATTGAATCATATATAGATCTATACAAAAATAGATCTATAAAGAGCATATAATTTGGTATACATAAAAAAAGAAGATAAATAAAAAATTATATTTCAAATCAAATACGAGTATTTTGAATATAATGTCATGTCTTTTGGAATCACAAATAATCCAACTACTTTTTAACATCTAATAAATGATGTTTTTTTTGAGTTTCTTAATAATTTTATAGTCTATTATTTAAATAATATCTTGATTTATGCTAAGAATACAAAAGAGCTTGAACTTCATACTTGTTGTGTATTACAAAAACTAAGAAATATGAGATTATATACTAAGATAAAAAATAAAATAAAATTATGCATTTCACATTACTGAAGTTGACTTCTTAATATACATCATTTCGAATGATAGTCTTATCATGATGGATCCTAAAAAGGTCTAAACTATCATAGATTGGAAGATTCCAAAAACAATCAAAGATGTGCAATTTTTTTTTGGAATTTGCTACTTATTACTAAATCTTCATCAAGAACTTTTGTCAAATTATGGCCTTTCTTATATGCTTGACATGTAAAAAAAAACTTGAGTGAAGCAAAGGAGTTGAAGCATCTTTTGAAGCCTTAAAGATAACATTTATTTTTGCACCAATCTTGTATCATGTCGAATTTTTGAAGGCATTTTTTATAGAAACAAATGCATCAAAATTTGCTATAAGTATCCTTTTGTTACAAATACGAGCAGATTACAAGCTCGAAGTAGTAGCTTTTTATTCTAAGAAATTTTCAATGGCTGAGATTAATTATGAAATCTATAATTTTTTTTTTTTTTTTTTTTTTGTAATTATGGATTCATTTCAAGAATAGCATCATTATTTAAAAGAAACTTCTAGTCTAGCCATTGTATATATGATTTACAAGAACCTTGAGTACTTTATGTCAACACGAGTTTTCAATCGTCGCCAAGCTTGTTAGAGCATGTCTATATCAAGATTTGATTTTAAGTTTCTTATTGATCCAAAAAACAATAAGGTTTATCAAATGCCTTTTCTAAACATTCTTATCTTACACAAAAAAAAGACACAACTTTTGATCAACAAAAAAAAATCTTCTTGAAATCAAAGCATTTTTATTTTTGAGCAATAAAATCAACATTGATTGTTGATTCAACTTTTTTTAAGCGAATTCAATCAAGTATGTCCTTTGATCTTCTTTTTCATGATATCAAGAATAATTCTTTAAAGTCTCATGATACTTCCAAGTTTAAATTCAAAAATAATCTATTCTATTTCAAGGAAAGATTATATATTTCAAAAGATAAAGTACAATTATATATTCTTTAAGCTTGTCATGACTTTTTAGCAACCAAACATCTTGAATACAATAAGACTTTAGAGCTAATATATAGTGATTTTTGGTGGCTTCAAATGTAAAGGCAATTAAAGACTTTATACAATCATGTAACATTTATTCAAGATCAAAACTTCCTTATCATCAACCTTATCAACTTCTCCAGCTATTACTTATTTTGAAACAATCATAGTCTTTCGTTTCTATCAATTTTATTACAGATCTTTAAGTTTCAGATTCATATGATTCTATATTTGTGATAGTAGATTATTTTATCAAGATGGGACATTTTGTACCATGTACAAAATCTATTACAAGTAAAGTAATAGCTAAGCTTTTTCTTAACATCTATCGCTATCATGGATTGCCAAAAGATATTATATCAAATAAGAAAATTCAATTTGTATCAAGTTTTTGGAAATTCTTTTTTAAAATTTTAAAGGTAGATATAAAGCTCTCTTCAGCTTTTCATCATTAAATTGGTTGGCAAGTGAAATAGATGAATTAAGTTTTAGAGTAGTATTTAAAGTGTACTATTAATTATCATCAAGATGATTGAACAACCCTTTTACAATTAACAAAGTTTGCATACAATAATTTGGTACATTCTTCTACTCAACAAATATCTTTTTTTGTCAATTATGGTTATCATCTATGACTTGATACTTTTGACTTTTTAAAAATTGATAATCTTATGGCAAAAAATTTGACAAATTATTTATTAGAGCTACATACAATAATAAAGGTGCAATTAAAAGAAATTAGAGAATATCAAAATATTAATGGAGATGCGTATTATAATGAAGAATAACAATTCAATGTTGGTGACAAGGTATAGCTACTTCATTGCAATATTAAAATTACTTATTCTTATGACAAGTTAGACTATTATAGGCTTAAATCTTTTCTTATTAATCAACAAGTCAATTTTTTTTGCTTATTCATTAAATCTATTGGAATTTATAAAGATCCATTCCATATTCTATGTGTCTCTTCTTGAACCATATAAAACAATGAATATCTTGAGAAGAAGACAAATGCCCCCTCTTCTTATAAAAGTGGATAATAATCAAGAGTTCAAGATAGTGTCAAGGACATACACTTGTCAAGGACATACACTAAGAAGTTGTAGAAGATTCTAAAAGGTTCTAGAGAAGCTTCGTAGTTTGTAGAAGCTACTTGAGAAGTTTTCAAGCTCGTGGAAGCTGCTTGAGAAGCTTTCTAACTCGTAGAAGGTGCTTGAAAAGCTTCCTAGTTTGAGGAAGCTATTTGAGAAGCTCCATAGCTTGTAGTACATATAGGAGCCGAGATTGAGGGGATCTTCAGTCTCGACAACACACCTCTTGGAGTTCTAGCTCACCTTTCTAGTGTTGTTTTTGTACTCATCTGATTAATCTAATTCTTGCCAATTTTTCTTAAGCTTCTTATTTAGATTATCAGTCAGTATTCTAAATTTGTGATAGTTTTTCGAGACTGCACTCATCTTTCATATCAGAGCTAGTTCTTTCTTATTAGAGAGTAGATTATCTCTTTTCTTGAAGGTGCTAGTATTTTAGAGGTTGTGGATTACCCTCCTCTAAACTAATATTTCTTTTGTTATAATATTGGAGTCTTATCATTCTTAGAGAGAGTGGATTATCCCTCTTCTTGAAGATTTTAAGGCATTTTAGAGGTTGCGGAGTACCCTCCTCTAAACCAATATTGTCTTCTTGTAGAGTCATTTCTTTCCTTCTCTTAGAATGGTCGGAGGTCAAGATATTAGTATGATTGAAAGTTTGAAGTCCAAGTTGGACGCCATTATGAATGCTCTTGTTACGTTATCACAGAGAACTATAGAGATTGAAAGAATCATTACAAGACTTCATGATGATGGAGCATCCGGGATGGCACAATCAAGGATTCACCAGCTTTAAGCTTCAATACCAAGAGAAGCAATTTTGCCTCTAGTTCAACAAGGAATATTGGACTTACAACAAAAAGAGCCCCAAATTAGCCTTCCAAACAAGTTCAAGGAT